GTTTTATTCTTCATTTTGAACTTATATATATATATATATATATATACACAAATTTTACAGGCAAGTTACGTATATATTCCTGTAAAATGTTATAAAAAAGATGAATATATTTTGAAATTTTAAAAACGAACAATGTATATATTTCTTAGGAATTTTCGTCTACATGATCTTGGTGGATGTCATTAATAGGAAAATTTTCTTGGGGGTTTCAAGTGCAATTTGTTCTCTATTTATATTTCTTCAGTATATTCCAACACCTGAGTAAGTGTCATGATGTACTTTTTTATTTATTCGTATTGAATAGTCATTATAATAAAAAAAGTTCAGTGGGGTTACGAGACATTTTAAAAGCACTTAAATTTAAGGGTTTCAAAACGTGTAGTATTCATAAAACATGAATCATATATCCAGGAGACCATATATCCCAGATTGAGGCTACCCTCTACACATTAGGGATTAGAAATCCAAATACGACGGGAAAAAAGGCATGTTTATTCAGAGAAACTACGTCTCTGTGTTTAATTTCGTAACTTAAAATATCGTTTGCACAAATTAATAAGCATATTTAAGGTCACCCCTCAAACCATTATGATTGAATCTTAAAGAGTGAAGATCCGATCCTCAAATCAAAAACTATTCAGAGTGGTCCTTATTTGTATTTTGGCACACTGCACAGTAGCATTTCAGACAACAATAAACTCACGCCAACTCGTAATCCAGTTGTGAACAATCTAGTGACGATATCAAAAGTGCGCAAAAATGGGTATTTTCGAAAGCTAAATAATTCACATATGGTGTGAATAAACGTGAACGTGTCTTTATATTTATTATTGACCTTTAAATTGCGTATAAAAGCTCTTTTTGGAGTTAATTTGAAGAAAAAAGTGCTCATTCATACAATATTCTGTGTTGTTTAATCATCCAATTTCGACAAATTTTACACTACAAGTTTAGCAATGTAATTAATGTTGCGCTTTTCAAATTATTGTCTGAATAATTTGATAATTGTGATAAGCCAGAAGGATTTATAGTTAATGCGTAACATTATAGTGTAAAAAATATTTTATACATAAAAATAATAAATAAGCTTGCGTAATTAATAACATTTTGCAAGCTGCTTTACGATTTGGTACGATACTTGTTAATTTACGATTTGTTACATCAGATTTAATTCGATTAAGTGAAATGCTTTGCTTAAATCTGACTAAAAATTTTGAAATAAGATTAATTATTTAACATAAATAGTTTAGCAATATTTGCAATATTAAATGGAAGTTATATGTATTTGAAAAAATATATTACCTGCCAATGGAATAATAATTTTGTTTTTACATTTTCATTTGAAATTTTAATCCCCAATTGAACTATGATGTGTGTAAATAAAGTCACAGTACTCGTTTTATTTTAAAAAACTAATTTTTTTCCAAGAAAACCAATGATTCCCCTGAACATGGAAGAAAGCAATAGTTCTATGATGTAAATCGTGAGAACGAGATTTCATTTCAGACGATAAAATATGCAAAGATTTTTTAATAAAAATATATCAAAAGCGTTTGCGCAGACGAAAGTCAACAGAAAGACTGAGAGAATGGGATACATGCTGGTGACGTAGTGTGGGTATCTCGATCCTGATAGGTTGTTAAAACGTGGGTATTTGTTTACGTTAGAAACTATTGGTTCCATTTCCCTTCGAGCCAGCCAAGTCCGCCAAGATTCAATTCTCTTCAGTAACATATATGCAACAAATCTTAAGTACATTCATTATTCTTACACAAAGATTCCTATTCTTTAACTATATATTTCCTACTTAACAGAAAGAGAGACACTAAGCCCTGTACAACATAACTTATTCTGCATCGAAGTTGCCAGGTAAACGAAATAAAAATATATCACGGATTTGTAAATACATAAACAAATAATAAATCTAAGTTAAGTAAACGAAGTAGACGAGAGAGAATTATATTTCAACAAATTCAATGCGTGACACGGAGTTGTATTTAATTAATTTCACGTTATTCAACATTCTTACTTAGCTCAACTTTTAACAAGCGTTCGTTTATAAACAATCAGCTGGAGCTGACGTCATTTTTGTTTTGTGTACCTGGCAACTTCGATGCCTAATTAGTTTGTTTATGTTCTACGTGGTTTCATTCCTGTTTTTGCGTTAAGTAAGAAATATGTAGTGAAAGAATTTAAATCTTTTTGAAAGATTATAGAATATGTCATTTAAGAAAATTGATACTTGCGGGCTTAGCTTACTCGAAACAGAAAGGAAAGAACAGTTGCTAACGTAAACAATTTGCATTTTAACAACTAATCAAGATCGAGGTACCCATATTACGTCATTTGCAGGTATAACATTAATTTGATATAATTCAATATATTATGTCATATGAATGTGCTCTCATACATTTTTATAGCGATATGTTTTTTTCTTCTTTTATTGTTATAATATGATTTATTACATGAAATATTTAGTAATAAAGAAATATGGAGCTTTTGCTCAATAAAACATTTTAATGGAAGTATTTAAAGGAAATAAAATTACTTGTATCGATTTTAAAAGTATCTATTCGATTGAAGTATCGATTTGTTATGACTTAAAAGTATCGATTTTCAAAGTAAAGATGGTTTTAAAGTAATCGACACTTTCTAAAGAGATAGAAATTTGTAATACAGATTGTAACACATTGTTCTAACCTTTTTTTTAAAATTATTTTTCCAACATTTAGCATTCTAGTGAAGACGGCTTTTCTCTACTGTTCCAGAGCTTTACTCATACCACAGTTTGATTTGATTCTTCTTATGTCATCAGAGGTAAAAAATTGAATTAATTTCTTCATATGTTTTGGTTTTGTTGCGAAAACGTTTTGTTTCATGATTTTTACCAGGTATTCTAAAAATGTCAGCCATTTAAAAAAATACTGGTTTCTGTGTTCTGCTTGGAAATCACTGTTTTTATTCTCCGAAGTTACAGTTTTCATCAATAGATTGCAGTCACTTCCAACAGAAAAACCATATTTTCCAAATAGTCACCATTTACAACAATAATGAGGAGAAAAGGTACCCCAACATTGGTATTTTCGGAAATTTTTTTTTCAGTTATAGTGTGTACATCTGAGAACAAAACTGACAGAAACAAATATTTCAATCGAAATTATTTGACACTCAGCAGAAAACATTGTATTTCTGGTCAGCAATGGAATCTTCTGATGAACTTTCTAATTAATGTTGAAACTTGGTGAAAATAATACATGGTTTCCTTAGCAGAACACAGTTAACTTCACATTCTGTTTTTTTGTTGTTCTTCTTTAGCTGAGTTTTCAAATCATTATACAGCTTTAAGAGATCAAGTATGCTTTGTTTTACCATATTTTGTACTCATTATTTGACATTAATGACCGGCTATAAAAAATTTCATTGACAAATAGCATTAGAATAATGTTTCTATCTGTTACTATTTAGTTCATGTTAAAATTAAAAAGCATGAAATCTACTTTTGAAAAACTACTGAACTAATCAGTAATGTGTAAATTAGTTAAAGTATATTCAATGTTTGGAATTTTTTTTATTTACATTTCATTAATATTTAGGCTTACCCTACAACACATCGAGGATGCATTGTTGGATTATGTGTATCGACATTTTACATAGGATTTTTCTTAAGTCCATACATTTATCAGGTATGTATAGCTTGATTTTTCAATAGAATTTCTAAGTATATACTTGTCATTATAACCAAGAAATTAAAACCTCTGTAGTTAAAATTTATGTTTCGATTTTTATCCAATTTAATTTAAACCCAATTACAGCAGGTTTTTTAACCAGTTTTTTACATTTTTATGATTTTAACACTATTTATTTTTTATTCGAATATTTAGCCTAAAAAGTGTTGCATTGCAATATTCGAATAATGTATGATAATGTTAACAATGTTAATTTATTGTACAGAGCTCGAAAAATGAACCACCCAGAATAACTTTTGATCTAATGATTGAATCTTCACGTTTTAAGGCTCAATCTTAATGTTTCGAAAGGGGGATCACAAATATGCTAATTGATTGGTGCAGATGATATTTTAAATTACGAAATCAGACGCAAAAACGTATTTTCTCTGAATAAACACACCGTTTTTTTAACGAATTCAATTTTTTTTTGATCCTCAGAATTTCATGTATAGCCGCAATCTTCGAAATATGGTCACCTTAGTTTGGTCAGGAGAGTGAGTCAAGTTTTGAACCCAATGTTAATTTACTTTTCGTGTATTTCGCCATAGTTTGAAAATTCTTAAGCTAATTGAAAAGTTTTAGAATACAATTATAAAATTTGATTTCCCGAAGACAGTTTCATGCCAGATATAACTTTTAGAAAATCATGATTATTTCATTATTTTTTATTATTTTATTCAATAATAGTCAAAAAAATTAAAATTTTAAGGTATACAATTTTAAAGTACGTAATTTTACATGGCAAAATACAACATTTGAGCGAAATCGTTTGAATAGTTCCTGAGAAATCAAATTAATCCTGAAAATCGTGTATTTAAAATTCGATTTCTTAGGAAATTATTTCAAGTTTTTTATTGTTTATCATAAGTGTATCTACTCTGGCGTGTACCTGAATAAGTGTATACTTCTAAAAGTGCACACCATAAGTGTATGTGAAGGGTTCTAATAGCACTGAAAGGATCTCCTCTCTTTGTTCACTGGATTATTTGTGCTTTTTAACTTGGTGCTCTGCGTTAACAGGATACAAAGACACGTCTCGTTTTTTGATTTTCTCGACCCTATTGGTCAGTTTCCAGACAGAAATATGCAAACATGCTTGTTACTTCCATAAAAATATTGTACCCATTACTTAGTATAATTGCTTTTTTTGAAACTAAAATACATTTATGCTAAAACTCATCATCTTCATAGTCCATAATATTCAATTGAAATATTAATCCTTGCTACACTAATTTTGTAATTGTTCTAAGACACTGAATCTTGCATTTCCATGCAATGTGGTGAGGATACTTTTTCTAATCGTACGGAAAATACAAAAAAGCTACTGGAACACTTTGATTTGAAATTAACTTTTTAAATAAAATATATTTTCATAAAATATTTAATTTATATAGAGAATCATAAAAATTAAGTTTTCATTATGCATTTTTGGTAATGGAATTGGGATTGATGAAAGAAACAAAGAATTAATATTTTATACGAAAATTAATTGACAAAAATTAATTGACAAAAATCACCATTTCTTACTGTTTTTAGTGAACCATTTTACAAATCTCATTCTAAGCATATATCGAAATGTCTTAAATAAAAGTTAGAAAATTTGCCTTTTTTATAATTGCTTTTCAATTTACAGTGAAATAAATTTACATCTTTGTAATGAAACTTATTTAAGCTTAAGTTATTAATAAAAGGCATATCATGCTAGTTTTCATGAGCTGTATCTTATATTATTTCATTGTTTTATTATATCTGTTTCTATAAATAAGTATTTTACTTAGGCCATAGGAAGGCAAGAATGCTTACTTGGATTTTACGGGTGTATAACTCTCTTGTGTGGCATTGCGGGAGCGTTTCTACCTTTAGAAACTAGAGGTTTGGAATTAATGGTAAGCAATAAACTACATTAAAAGAACAATATTTAATCAATTATACATGTAACAAGAGAGAGACATATTACATAATATTATCACACGTACGAGTCCCCAAAATCGACCGACAGTTTGAAAAATCAAACGAAAACTAAAAGAAGGTAGAAATGTACCCTTTACTGCATTTTACTTAGTTAATGAGGAGTTTTTCTCACTAGGTTACAATATTAGTTATACAGTTTGTCACAATGTGGTATTGTTAACTTCGAAGGCTTTGTCGTCATATGAAATGATGCATTTTTGCGAATAATATACTATTTTCATAACTGCTGTGAGTTTGCAACAGTTACTCATGACTGTTGGGATAAGTTTAGCTAATCTAAAGTTAACCCTCTATGCTTATTATGAAAATGGCGCAAGACGTCAGTTTGGAGAAAAGCCACAGTTCTGTGGAAATGAAAAGCTTTTGTGGTCTAAATTTCTAATACGTAAAAGCTTACTCCAATACTGCATTATCTGGACTCATAAAAATGTGCAGACACTAAGAATAAGGCACTGATTTTCATAGCTTTCTGCTAGATGGAAAAATATTACAAAATCGGTGATTTTTTGAAAAAAAAGTTTCATATCTTTTAAAATATTTAAGTTACTTGTCTGTTCTAAAGCCCAGATAATTCTTCACAGAAAGATGATATCAATAGTTTGAACTCATCACCTTGCTTTAATGGAAAACGGAGTTTTTTTTTTATTTTCCTTGGTGAAGACAGCGAGCTTCGAAAAACCATCTTTTCAAATTACCACAATTTTCAGATGAGCCACATTCTGGTGCAGTCTGAAAAAAAAATTTGCCGACTCCCTTGCAAATCAGTTGGAATGATCTAACAGACAGGAGAAATTAGTTCCTACAGTTGGCTGCGTCACCTGTTGATGAATTCTGTTACTATTTTGCTAATTTGGTGAAAATAAAGGATCTGGTTTTCTAAAGAGATTGCAGAAATCAGTACACTTCTCTTTCCGCTTTTCTTTAAAATTGATTTTTGAAATCATCGGTCATTTTTGGGACACTTGTTATTACACATTGCACAAACATATACATTTTGGATTACAACACAATTTAAAAAAATTGAAACTTTTTTTTTTCTACTTGCGTCTCCCTTTTTAAAAAAGAAATCAAATAAAGAAAGAAATGTTTATGATTGGATTTTTATATTAATTTAAAAATAAATAAATAAATAAGTATACGTCTTTTACTACATTGCAACGAATGAGGATTATGCTAAAAACTCAACATCCCGATCATACTACAATTGTTTAAACCTTGCAATCCAGCCATTAAATCAATAAACTAAATAGCTGAAGTTTCTTTCAATTAACTAATTAAAAAAGATGCTTTTCAGAGAATCGTTCTAAATATGTAAAAATCTTTTGATTCGTATCTGTCAAGACGAAATGATTTTATTGCTTTGTTATATTTAACCTATTAAAGTTTTACACTTTTTTAGAAATAAATATGAAAATTCATAATTAATTCAAAGTAAATATTTTTTAAAACTTAATTTAACATAAATTACTTTAGTTTGAAACAAGCTATTCTTATGTATTTTTTTTAAAAATGTTATAATTTTCATTTCGTATTAATCGCTTGTGTCGTACTGTTAATAATACGTCTTCTTTTTTAAAAATTGCCGCATTATATGCATTACATTTAAAAATGGACGCAAATTAATGTCCAAACATGAATCCTATATTAACAGTCCGACAAGAAAACTGTTTTTTTCAATGTCAAAAGAAAATGTAAAGTTTTAGTTATTAAATAATGAATTTAGGTGTGCTTAGAAAATATTTTAGGATATATAAGAGCCAGAAAACGTTTTATCATGGGACATCACGTAAATGTAAATTTTTACAATTGTTTTATAATTTTACATTAGGTTCTTAAGCCTTATTAAATTTTCGACTGTTTGGCATAAAATGCTGAGATTTTAAATTGAATTCCTTTAGTAATTTTTCAGGTTGACTTCGCAATATTTAATATTTATATAAAAAACATTTTTGTCGATATGCGACATTACACTCAAGTTTCGTTATCGCTATAACTAGTAAATTATTTAGGAAAATGTATGTTTTTCCGTAAACTAACATCTGACATTCATTTTATTTTCTAAAAATATGTTGAAAATAATTACATTTTGTTTGTATCATAATATTATCGTTATTAAAAATTTCTTTGAATGTACTCTTTATATTTTTTAAAAAAAATAAAGCTATGTATCACAAAATTATTTTCTTTTACATAATTTTATCAAACTTGATTTATTTTTTAGGAAATACCGAAAGAAAAATAGGGAGCGAATTTTCGAGAAGATGATATCATAAAAAAATGACATGAAAGAAAATGGCAATATTATAAAAAAATTGTACAAATAAACATCTTTTTTAAAAGCTGTTTTCATCACTTACCTTCTTTTTTTAAATAATTCAGTTCCCGAATTCGACTTCGTATTTCCCTCAGAAGTTAAACTTATAAGCAAATGACAACGATCTAGTATTCAGTGATCTGGTATCTTGGTTGAGCAGAAGACAATGCTGGTGAGTAAACAAACATGCTCTGGCAATGCAAATCGAAAAAACACGTGACTATTCCTCGGATCTCCTAGACGCTCTTCCCAACTGCCCAATAATGTGTTGGGATAAATTAAAGCGATGGGAGAAGGAGTAATCGGGTCATCCCCCCTCCCCCAAGGTAAATCGTACCCCAAATCAAGTCATGGAAGAGTATATACAATAGGAATAGAATAGGAGGATGGATAATAGGTTGAATGGATAATAAGATACATTGTGGGGCGAGTGTTATCGACAATGCCAACCTTCATCTATGAAAAGGTTCCCTAGTATAGAATCGAGTTAGCATGTATTACATACTACTGAATTGGAATTTAATAATTGTGTTTGTAGACATGCTACAACATGGATAGTAGGATACATGGTAGGACACATGGATAGGATAGTAGGAAAGCTATTCTGACTGATCTGCTTTATTTATTATTTATTTTTATGATTTATTGCTTAAAGCATAGTTAGGAAACTAGACGAAAGTATCGGAAAAGGCAAAGCATCTGGAAATTATGAGTTCAAGAATCTTGGGAAGGAATATATGTAGACGATTTTAAGAGTTTTTCTTTGCAATTTCAATGAAATAAAAACATTTCGTGATGTCACGCATTTATTAATGTGTTATTAAGAAAGGCGAGATAGAAACAGGTGATCTTATTACAGTTTTCTTTTTAGAAAATGTGGATGGAAAAAACAGCCTTAATTTTTGTGTTCTACGGGGATAAAAGCTATGTTTTGAAGATACTATTAAATAGCTTGCTAATCTAATAAATTTGGTAATACTTTAAAAAAGCTATGGGCATAATTGAATGCAATGCATAATTAGTGGTTAATCTTTTTGGAATCAGAAAAGAGGGATCAATATATTTTGATTCCTATCGCGCTATATTATAAGCTGTCAAAAAAGGTTTCTTCTGGATTTAAAGTAAGCTAAATAACCATGCATTATAATCCTTAATGCATCATTGTTTTTAATCCTTAATGCATAAAGTAAGGGTGCATTAAAAATGATATTTCTATACAATAATGTTTGGGGAGGATGCCGAACAATAGAATATGAATATATACTATAGAATTGCATTAAAAAAAGACTCTTAATACTCTTTAAATTAATTTACGCTGCATTAAGCGCACCCACTGCCCTCAACATTTTAAATTAAGGACTAAACATCTTTTTGCCCCAATTTTAATATTAGCTATAGTGTCCTTACTGCTATCAGCGTATATACCGCAATAGGCATTCAAAATAATTAAGCAAATCAGTTGGAATCTAACATCCAGGAGAAAATACTGCTTATTAGTTTCTATAGTTGGCTGCCTCACCTGCTGATGAATTCTGTAACTATTTTGTAAATTTGGTGAAAATAAAGGACCTGGTTTTCTAAAAAGAATGAAGAAATCCGCACATTTCTCTTTCCGCTTTTCTTTAACATTGATTTTTCATTCATTCTTCATTTCGTCTCATCACGGAAAGTTAAAAATCCTTAAAATTTCGTACTTAAGTCTCACACGAAGCTTACAAGTACAAAGCTGAAAATTATTATCTTACAATTATATTCAGTTTTTTAATTGTTAAATACAGATGAATAACTAAGCTTTCACATATCTTCCCAACTGTCACAGTTTAGTTTAAAAAAAAAAAAAAAAAGAAAAGAGAAAAGGAAACGAAAATTATTAATTACCGAGCATACCATCGATAAAATTTAAAATAAGCTGATAGATTATTTCTGTTACGTATCCTAACAATATTTTTTTTAATCTATAAGCAGTAAAAGATTTAATGAGTAGTCTGAAAAAGATTAATTTAATTCAAATGTGATTCAAATAACGTTCAAGTAAAAGGAATAAAAAATGATCGAAAATAACTCTAGTATGATTGAAATAAATCCACTCAAAGGATGCTAAGTATGAATCAAAAATAATTATATTAATTCAAATCCGACTTAAAATCATGCATTGAAATGATGTTAATAGTCTATCAAATATGATTGAGTTAAAACGATTCAATCAAGTGATGCAGATAATCAATCAAAAATAAAAAAAATTGAAAATCGCTCAAGCTCGACTTAACGATCCACTCAAGTAATACTGATAGTCAATCAAACCAACATCTCCTAGAAGGTGTTCGTTCTTGATCAAATACGATTGAATTTCATTCAAGTTCCGTTTAAAATTATCCGCTCAAACTTGAATGATTTCAGTTCACTCTTTGAATTAAATTTTTTAAAGGCTTCAATCACATGAATCTATGTTGCATGGAGGACAATGATGCATAATTAAGTACTTTTGCAGTGGAAAAAAAACCTTGCTAAAGTAAAATTGAGTACGTTTGAGTACTTTTTTAATAAAAAAAAGATGTATTCCTTTTTTTTTATTCATTTCACTTGTAACAATGTTATGTAACTTCTATTGTTTTTTTTCTTTCAGAAATGTTCACATTTCTGATTTTTAAAGAAAAAAATAGATTAATTGATAATAACTCAAAAAAAAAATTTTTTTTTATCGAAAATGTTTTTTAGAAAATAGAAAAGGAGTTAAATCAATTCAGTCAACATTTACAGCGATAAAGAACAAAGTAACTGTAATCCCATTATCTGGTGCATTTGTGCGTTTTCAAAATGAAAATAAAAGGAATAATCTATATGTTTTATTGTTACCTTTTAATTTATCACACACTGTGCGAAGTTACTAACCAGTTATGTCTGTTTTCTACATTGTTGTTTTAACTTTATATTTCTTTACGGGAAGTCTCAAATCGGAAAAGATTTCTCCAAATTGTGAGATCAAAAATAATTTGGTGGAATGTTCGGGCATAGACAATCCTAATAATCTAAAGGAAGCTTTTTACAAGTCAACGAAAGACACATCGTATCCATCAATCGAATGTGTGAGCATTATCCATTCTCAGTTTTCATACATCCCTCATGATTTGTTCAAAAGTTTTGAAATAAAAATGATATTGATAAAAAATACCACTTTAACGTCAATTACTGAAACAAATACAGCTTTTGAAGGATTGGAAAAAAGTTTGACAGATCTCACCATTGCGAATTCCACGCTGCTCAGTGATTTTGACTGGAATCAACTACGAAGTCTGATTGCACTAAAATTCCTCACGTTAGAAAATATTGGATTAGAGTATATTGATAACGATGTGAATGCTATTGCTGCAGGTAGTTTAATCCATTTATCGTTCGCGAATAACGAAATTTCGTTCATAAAGGATCGATCATTTGCACCTTTTGTTCATCTTGATGGCATATGGTTGAGTTTCAACAAGATATCAAATCTGAAGAGAAGTATGTTTCCAAATTCTGAAAATGAACTTTCAAAGATTTATTTAAAGTAAGATTTAATACTAATAATACGTTTTTATGTAATATGTAACTATTAAGCTTATCAAAGGTCTTTAACATGAAAACAAAAATAGAAAAATGGTTTGATTCCATATCTAATGACCCACTTAAACCATTCTCTAAAAAATTAAACGATCTTGTTACATTAGGATTTCTTTGTCTTTTTTGCTAAGCCATAAAGGCAAATTGGGTTATAAGCGTTATTGTGGAGTATTCGCGTCTCGAAAAATAAGAAGCGAAGATTTTATTGTATATTTTATTGCCGTAGTTGAACAGGCGACCCGATTTTGTGTTTATCTCTACCAAAGTTCAACTCCATAGCTTTATAATTTTGAACTCAGAAGACAAAAAAACTCTTGAATTAAGTATTTGGAGAAATTTGCTTTCGTGGACGACTTTTATATCTAATTAATTCGCATTCGTGTTGCATGGAGGCTAAACGACATAATCTCCCATGGTTGACTGGCAGCAAGGGGACTCTAACCCATGATCCGCCAACCACTGAGGATATTTTACGTCAGCACTGTGGTCGGTGCGAGCCGAGATGGGAATTTGTATCGACAAGCCATCGCTGACATTCGAACTAACACGCATTTGCGTTACGTGGAGAGGAAAATCACGAAAGCCTTCCTCGATTAGTCTGATGCCAAGGGGACTATAATCCATGATCCGTCTACCACAGAAGGTATTTTGCGTCAGCACTGTGATCGGTGCGAATTTGTATCGACCAGCCATCGCTGGGATTCAAACCCGAGTCACCTCGTTGCGAGGCGAGTGCTCTATCCCTTGAGTCACCACGACTCAAGAAAAGGAGATTTAATTTTTTTTTCGTTTTTAAAATTTCTTTCCAATAAATGACACTTCCAATTCATTATTGGCTAGACAGTCCGGAGGGGACATTAACCTTTTTAAGAAATTTATGTCTGACTTAGTTTCTATCTCACAACCGTTCCCTAGCTTTTTGCCTGCAGTGCCAATAGATCTCAATGAATTTTACAAACCAGTGGCATTTATGGACCTCATAACTTAAAATGTTTTTGTACAATGCTTTTTTTTTTTTACTTCTAACAAAATTTATTTTTAACTTCTAAATTACCTTTGCATTTTTAGCGACAACAAGATTTCATCTCTACCATCTGATTTTTTCACGAACATGCCATATTTGAGTTTTGTTGATTTGAAAAATAATGGATTTATAACTTTGGATCAAGCATTATTCGAACCCATTTGGAAGAATTTAAATATGATTGATTTATCAGGTATTACTAATTTTTATTTATACATTTACAAATAAAGTTCTGTTACAAAATATGAGCTAATTTAGTTTTCAATCACTAAAATTATCAGAAAGTTTTTTTTTACAGTTTCCCACAGCTTAAAAGTATATTTTATTGTTAAATGAATACTGTTTTAGTCTGTTAGGTAACCGGAGAGTAACGACTAGTGGTATTTAACTTTAAGTTACTA